TCATTTTTCCCCTCCCTCCCCGCTCCCCCCTCCCTGCTTATAGTATTATTAATATTTTAATCTGTTATCTTACTCCTCCTTACACCACTCTTTCCACAACTAACCCTTTTTCAGAGTTTAAACTACTTTATTGATATGCAATTTATAGACCACGAGTGAACATTTTAAAAGACTAAATATATATATGTATCACTTACTTACTTAAAACTTTTGGATACCTTTTCTTTGTATTTAGAATATAATCCCAAATTCTTACCTGATCTGCTAACCTGGCCGTTCACTACAAGGGGGCTTTCAAAAAGTACAAGGAAAAATTCCATTAACTTTTAATTTCATTTTTCTGTGACATTTTGGAAGCTCTCTGATATTTCTCAAAATTCAGTCCATGCCTTTTCCCCTCTTGCTCATCTGGTGCTGGACTTTTTAATGAATCATTCCTTCTGTCTGGAATTCTGTTGCACTGCTTCTCTAACTAGCTTCTACTTATCTCTCAGGTCTCAGCAGAGATAGCATTTTCTTAGAAGGTTATTCCCTAACTAGCTTTATCTATGTGGATCTGGTCCTTATTCTCTATCACAATACACAGTTATATTTTTTAAATAGCACTTTAGGGTTTTTTTCTTACTTACTTGTTAAATAATTTATAATATAAAACCTCCCTGAGGTAGTTACAATTCTGTTTTGCTCACATCAGACACCCTGGAACCAGACACACAGTAAAAACGCAATAAAAACCATGTGAATCTACTGTAAGCAACAAAGACTGAACTTTAAGTAAATGAACCTACCTTAGGTGGGTAAGAACGGAGGGCAGCATTTCGGCCAGTTCATCCATTGTAGGGTACTGGTACCTGAAATTCAGAAGGTCATCTGCATTACAAAGTATGGGCCTTTCACAATCACTAGAATAGCTGGAAACACAGAGTTCTTAGGGTTAAAGATTCTCGTCTACTAAAGGCTCATGGAGGTGGTGACGTGCCTAGAAACAATCATGTCATGCTTGTGGCTCTTTATGACTGCCACGCTGAGCAGAAGTAAAAGAAGCTACCCATTTCTACACCTCAAAGAACATCTCTGGGACCAGATGAAACCACTTGAAAGGAAGAGATAATATGGTTCTCTCCTATTTTCAAGTCTCTCACAAGTATTTCAATTACGTTCAGAGAACATCCAGTAATAAGATTCAGTTCAAGAAGTGGTTCTTGGTCTGCGGCTTATCCTTATGCAGTGAAATGCAAAAGTAAGCAAAGTCATACGAGGGGGTACGCTCCCCAGAACCATAATTACACTGGGGGGAGTGGGGCTTTCGTAATACGCATTTTCCCCACTAGATGACCACTGAGCAACTTGCTCTGAGTTAGTGCACAGCTGGCATCACCTGCAAAGATTCTCTCTGGTCACAGTGAATTTTTTCATAAAAGCAATTCTGCTCCAACCTCGTGTTTTGTGATGGCCGATTTAAGAGAACAGTGTGGTGTGCACCTGTAAAATTTTGTTTCCTGTGCAGGAAAAATGTCATAGAAACTGTTGTGATGTTGAACACAGCTTAGGGGGACAGTGCTATAGGAAAAACTGAAGTGTATGAGTGGTTTTCTTGATTCAAAAAAAGTGAAATGTTGATTGTTGACAAATCTTGTTATGGACGTCCGTCAACTTCCTGAATGGATGAAAATGCCAACTCTTAGTGCATTTGGAGTTCATTCCACCAGGTCAGACTGTTAATCAAGCTTTCTATTTAGAGGTTCTGAAAAGATAGCGTAACAGCGTGCAACAAATAAAGCCTGATTTGTGGCAGATGGGGGACTGGTTTTTCCATCACAATGCACCTGCTCACATAGCCATCTCAGTGCACCAGTTCTTCATGAAAAACAGCATGCTTCTCTTGTCCCACACACCTTATTCACCTGACATGGCACTAAGCAACTTCTTTTGGTTTCCGTGCATGTAGAGCAGCAGTTCTCAACCTGTGGGTCGCAACCCCTTTGGGGGTCAAACAACCCTTTTATAGGGGTCACCCAATTCATAACAGTAGCAAAATTACAGTTATGAAGTAGCAATGAAAATAATTTTATGGTTGGAGGGTCACCACGACATGAGGAATTGTATTAAAGGGTCATGGCATTAGGAAGGCTGAGAACCACTGGTGTAGAGTAACATGAAAGGACAGTTATTTGATGATGTAGAAGAGGTGAAGAAAAAATGCGGGAGGTACTGTCAGCCATCCAAACAGATGGAATTTGAAAAATGTTTCCAAGGATGGAATCGCAGATTTGGCAAATGTATTAAGTGTAATGGAGAGTACTTTGAAAATGATAAGGCTGTTTTATAAAAAATCTTAAATACATAGCTTCGGGGGCGGGGGTGGTGGTGGAGTGTTCCGGTTTTTCGGGAGTATCCCCTAGTAGTCACGAATACTGGAATGATTTTGTTTCCCTTGACACAACAATAACACGATCATTTTATTATCTGCATTTGAATATAGTTAACGATATGGATGACCTCATCCTAAAACGGTCAGTACATACAGGAATAGACCCAGACTAGGACTGCAAGAAAAGAGGAGAGTATCCATAGAGACTGCAGAATCAGAGATGGAGAAGTCTGATTGTGGATCTCTTATGCCAGATTTCCCAAAGTGGGTGATACTGCCCCCTGGGGGGCGCTGGAACAATCCAGGGACACTGCAAAGGCAGACACCACACTTTATTCTGGATTATGGGCTCTAGGGCAAACATTTTGAATTGCCAAGAGGACACTGAGCAATGTTTGTTTGTTTGTCCTGAAATGGTGGAAGCAGGCCAAATAAGTTTCAGAACCTATTTCCTATATGAAGCAGGATCTACCCCATACCTGACAGGGAAATCAGCCTACCACTGCTTGAACATTTTGAGAGATGAAGTGCTTTTGAAGTATTTGTGAACAAACAGAAAAGAAAAACTGGACCCAAATCTTGATAGATGTAAGCAATCACCAGCTAATTAATATGTATTGAGAAAAAAATAGCTTGGACGCGGTCAGTAACAAATCCTGGTGTCAGATTGCTTGGGTTCAAATCCCAGCTCTGCTACTTACTGGTTATGTAACCTTGGCCAAGTTGCTTAAATTCTCGGGGCCTTTTCCTCACTTGTAAAAAAGAAACAATAGTAATCGTATCCCATAGAATTTGAGAACTAAATGAGGTAATACCCATAAAGTACCTAAAGGGGGATTTGGAACACCAAGTCTCATGTAAGTGTTAGCTGTTTTTGTAGTGGTTTATTTCACAGAAGTCACCAGCCAAAAGCAGCTCTGGAGACGAGTAAAGGAAGAAGGGAATATAAAGCAATGCACAACTTGTGCTCTGACTCCTCTTCCCAAGGCCTTTGCTTCTGCAGTAAGTATGCCTGCCTGGAAGAAGTGCAGAAACTGGTTTCATCACACAGAGCAGACTTAGGACAAGGCGGAGACCTCCGAGTCCATTCAGACTGCACTTTTACTTGAACAGGGCAGCTTCTCAGAATAAACAATCATACAAATATTCAAATTCCAATCACTAAAGGGGAGGGAAGAGTGGGAAGATACTCCCAGGAAGCTAAAAGAGATTTGAGTTCAGCTCTGGATAGTTGAGTGTTTCATGGAGAGGCATAAAAATGACAGACTTTAAGTGAGGAAGGGGACAAATCAAAGATAACAAGAAGTGGGGTGCTCTAGACACTTGTGCCTTGTGATTACAGGGACATCGGTTCTTTCTAAGGAAAGCCATTTCGGGATATGAGAAAATCTGCAGTTTTCCATGTCAGATGGGATTGCACAGTCAGTCCTCTCAGACTAAGGATAAAAAACAGGGGACGATTGGTTAATCCATATAACCTATATAGGTTGCGATAAAATCAAGTGGGAAAGGGAAGTGCTACTTCTTCCACCAGACTTCAGTCATTTGCTCTTCGGAGTACATGTCACCCAAAGATCTTGCTTGTGGCCTTACCCTGTTGGGAAAGGGGCTGCACCTTCCTGCTGGCCTGGGGCATCCACATGACAGACAGCAAAGTATTGGGTGATCTCCTGCATATCCTCAAAGTTAAAGAAGGCATTGAAACATGATTTGTCTGCAAGAGTAAAAATACCCATAAGTCACAGGCTCTCCAGTTCTCCCCAACCGTCCCTACTCAATCAATGCTCATGTCCTCTTTCTTTATTGTTAGTACTTGTTCCACTAAAGTGAGGTATCTCAACAATCCACCTGCATCAACCTGCCCTAAAGGCTGAGTATCAGATATCTCAATAACTTCAGTAACTTATGCTCAATTCTACACAGTATATACAAAGTGGAAACCAATCTAGGTGCTACACAAAATAATTTTAACACCCATAATACTGTTACTTTTCATTTACCTTGTTTACCCATCCAACATGTGGACACTGACTATATGGTTGAAATGAATATCTTGGGTCAATTGCATTCCCCATTTGGTAATCTTTCTC